TTGGAGTAATTTAAAAAAAAAAAAAACAAAAACGTTTAATACGATTTCACATTTTAATAAATAAATAATAGTTTCAAGGGGTTGCGTGTGCGCGTACGCGCGTGATAAAAACTTGTTATCACGCGTGCGAATATTATCATCATCATTATTATTATTATTATTATTATAAAAAAAAATAGAAAAAATTAATTTTTTTTTAAAAAAACTTTTTCTTTTTTTTTTTTTTCAGTACGTTTGTATTAAATTTAACAAACAAATAAATTAATTAACATTTTCTTTTTCTCTCTCTTTCTCTTTCTCTCTCTTTTTTCTTTTCCTCACCTTTTTAAATAAAAGAAAATTTTTTTTCTTTTTTTTGTTCTATGCAATTAGTAAATGAGGGTTTGTTATAAAATTTATAATTTTTTAGTAAAAAAGATAAAAACAAAACAAATAAAAAAAAAAAAAAAAGAAAGAAAGGAAAATTTTTTTTTTTTGGAACGTTAAAAACTTTAAAAAAAAAATTTCATGCTGGTTAATTATTATTATTATTATTATTATTTTTAGTTTAATATTTTTTGTTTTTTGAGTTATTTATGAGAAAAATAATAATAATAATAAAAAACATCAAATTTTATATTTATAAATATATATAATAAGTAATATTTTTTAATGATAACGACGACGACGACGACGACGATGATGAAAAACACGATGTAATTATTATTATTATTATTATTATTATTGAAACGTAATTAAAATTAATTGAAAAACGTTAAATTTTATTACGAACGTCGTTTTAAACAAACGACAAACGAGTAATAAAAAAAATTATTAATTATGTATATATACATAAATAAATAAAGGAAACAAACGAATTTTTCACGTTCGAACGTTATAAAAACGTTTTTTTATTTATTATTATTTTTTATTACCGTCGATCTTTTTTTTCTTTTTTTTTCCATTATTAACGTATGAATTTATCACGTGACAAAATATTTAAAAAAATTTCCTTCGTCGACTGTAAAAAAAAAACCGGAAATGAGAAAATTTTTTTTTCCGCAAGGGAAAAAAAAATTTGTCACGAAACTCTACTCGAAGAAAGTCAAAAATAAACTCATCCGCTTATTATTATTATTATTATTATTATTATTATTATTATTATTATCGTTGTTATTAATTTTATTTTATCCCATTATTTATTTACCTTAAAAACCTGATATTACGTTTTAAAAAAAAAAAAAAATGGCGTCGATACGAAAATGGTAGAAATAAATAAAATTGTAATAAAAGTCTTTTTTTCAATCTGATTCCTATAAAATTTAAATTAAAAAGGAAAAAACTCGAACGTAACATTATCATTATCATTATTATTATTGTGTAGTTACATATTATTGTTACGCAAACAATCATAAATAAGTTCGATTAATAACATTATTATTATTATTAGAAATACGTTTTAGCAAAGAAGACGTTAAATAATAATAATAATGTGAAAATTATTATTAATTATTTTATTAACAAATATAAATAAATAATTAATTTTTTTTTTTTTCCCGTCTGTGGATTTATTTAATAACTGGCGACGACGCCATTGAGTGATAACAATACTGATAAAGAAATAAATAAGTTAATAAATAAATAAATGAATTAATAACCGGAAATGAATCGTAACTCGTTTGCAAAAAAAGAAAAAAGTGACGGGATTTGAAAGAAAAAAACGAAGATTAAATAATTTTTTTATTTTTATTGTCAAAACGACGTGGGAAAAGATGTAACGGTCGAAATACGATTGTTATTTACACGTTAAATCATTTAATTAAATATAAAAATTGAAAGTAGTCTGATTAGTTTAAATTGAATAACGGTCGAAAAAATAAAAAAGTTTTAAATTAATTATTTAAAAAAAAAAAAAAACAGAAAAACATTCGTTAAATAATTTATTTTATAAATTTTAAAAACGTTATTATTTAATTTACACTCCTGCCACGTTTAATTTTTTTTTTTTTATTCGTTCGTTAAGAATTAGAAAAGGGTTAAAATTAAATTAAAAAAAAAAAAAAAAAAAAAAACGAAATAATTTTTTTTTTTCTAGAATTTTTTTAAAAAAGGAAACCGAAACGAACCGGAATTAATGTTTAAAATATAAACAAAGTGAAATTTATAACTACGTCATTTGTGACGATGGAAAAGTGACGATGAACGTGAGGAAATTTACGATTATCGATTATCGATCGATTCGATAATCGAAAAATCGAAACGACTTATGTTATTTTTATTTAAAAAAATATGTTTTCGTATAGGAGATGGAAAACTCTCCATTATTATAACGTTAATTGTTTTTTTCTTTCTTATTTCTTTCTCTCTCTCTCTCACTTACTTCTTCTTCTTATAGACATCATCTTTTTTCTTTCTCTCTCTTTATTAACTTTTCATAAACCTTATTTTTCTTTTTTTTATCGACTGAAAAGTCGCGTTTCTGTGAAACAAAAAGAAAATGTCTAAATAACGTCCCCCCCCCCCGGAAAATTAATTCGTGACTCAATTTTTATAAATTTTGACAGATTTTTAGTTTTCCTTTCGTTTTTTAGTATTATTATTATTATTATTATTATTATTATTTCCCTTGTTTTTTTAGTTAAAAGGGAAGGTAATTTCTTATTTATTACTTTTTTCCATTCGTTTTAATTTCGGTTATTATTCCCCTTGTAATAATAATAATAATAATAAAATAAGTAATAATAATACGTTTGATGTTATAAAAAAGAAAAGAAAAAAAACATTATCATTATCATTATTATCATCATTATTATTATTTAAACGTGAAAATGAATTTTTTAATAATGATTACTACGATGATGATGATAATGTATTAATTTTGTTTTTTTATTAAACATATTTCTTATTTTAAACTTTTTAGTAAAGTTTGTTTTTGTTGTTGTTTTGTTTTGTTTTGTTTGTTTGTTTGTTGCCAAAGGAGAGGTGAGGGGGGTGAAAAGTTAATAAAAAATTTATAAAATTCGGATACGTATTTAAATTTTTTACACTTGTTAGATTGTATATTTTTACTACGGAAGGAGGGGGTGAAAGGGGGAAAAGGAAGGAAGAGAGAGGGAGGGAGGAAGGAAAGAAAACTTTAATAAAACATAAATTAAAATGTAAAACTTTCAAAAATTTTAGTAATATTATCCTTAAAGTCTATAATAAATTATTACTCGACCTGTGTAACTCTTTTAACTTTTTTTTTTTTTTTTTTGTTAATTTTATTAAAGAAATTTTATTTAAATAAAAACATTCGCGAACATTTCAATAAAAACAAACAAAAATATGCCGGATATGGCGTAATTAAAAATTTTTTAGCGGGGACCAAGTTAAAAATAATTCAATTCGTTTAGAAAAATTTTATTATTATTATTATTATTACTTTTAATATTTTACGTAGATATTATAAATTACGGTTACGTAATAATTTTATGTCCCGTTAAAATTACCATACGTAACACATTAAAAAAAAAAAAAAACGGAAACAAAGAAAGTTTTGTATTATTATTATTATATTTTAAACAATAACTAAAAAAAAAAAAAAAAAAAAAAATTTTTTTAACTTTAAATTTTCATTACTACGTGTTGCCAAGTTTACACGTAATAATTTTTTTAATTTTATGATTAATTACCATTTTTAATTACCCGGTAATAAAAAAAACAAAATGACATCGACAGTAATTTTTTAAAAAATAAACGAAAAAAAAGGAAAATTTTTTTTTCAAAATGTGTTCAAAATTTGCCTAAACGTTATTTAACGGGCGTTTTAATTGATTTCATATTTATTTATCAATTTGATTTCCCTTCCCCCCATAATTTTATGATAACCGTTTTTGTGTGTTAAATATTATTTTAAAAAGGCGTGAAAAAATTTTGTAATAATAATAACAAGGACGTCCTTTGATTTTTTTTTTATTTTGCTAGAAGTCAAAACAATAAATAAAACAAGAAATGTATTGTGATGAAAAAAAAAAATTTTCCGGTTCAAAACTATTATCTAATAAATATATATAAATGTATCGCAAGTTTTTTAAAAACTCGCTTGTGAAAATTATGTAATTTTTATCTACTTCACGTTTACCTTAATAAATATTTTTATTATTAAGTGAACCAACCCCTGAGGGTAAAACAAAAATTAATACCGAAAATTATAAAAAGTTTATTGATCTGTTTTTATTTTAATTGAATTCGTTAACGTTCGATTCTTACATCGTAAATTTATACTCTATTGAATTGTTTATATGCAAACGTCTTCTTTAAAAATCGATTTGACCCCAAAAAGGAAAAGAAAAATAAAAATTTCTAAACGCGAAACCGAGTAAATAAAATATTTGGTGCATTTTTTTGATACCTCGAGCCGTTAAATGTAAAAAAAAAAAAAAAAAAAAAAAAGATTGCAGGTTAAGAGAGAATATAAAAGTGACAGTTAAGAGAAAGTTGTAAGACTATCGTAACTAAAAATCTTTTCTTTTTAAAAAGAAGGTACACTGAAAAACAGGTTCGATAAGAAGAAGAGCATGTCTATTATCGCGCGGATTAAAATAAAAATAAAAAAAATTAAATAATTCGTAAAAGTTTTTTTTTTTTTTTTATTTAAATCGAAACATTTTTAAATATTTTTTTTTTTTACATTTATTAAACGACGCGTCATATTGTTTAATTAATTACATCAATTAAAAATTTTTTAAATGGAAAATATTTTAAATATATTTAATAAAATTATAAAACATCGCGTAAATTAAAGTGATTCGTAATGGAAAATGGCGACGATTTTTTTTTCCTAAACAAAAAAAAAAAGTTTTATTACATAAAAAAAAAAAAAAAAAAACGTTATTGTGTAACGACTTTCATCGATTTAATTGAATTTAACTTCCCGCTGTGAATTTGTCACATGTGTCGTAAACAAAAAGACACCAAAGTGTAAATTAAAAAATCTAAAAAAATACGATTGAAAACATTTTTTTTTTTTATTTAATGAAATGGACAACGTGATGTTTAATAGACACGCTTTCACTTTTAGGAACGTACAAAATATAAATTCGGCTATGTCATATCACACGAAGAAGGAAGCACACAAGCACATTTAGAAACGAGAGATGGAGATATGGCTTTAGGAAGATATTACGTTAATTTACCAAATGGCAGCGGTCAAAAAGTAACTTATTTGGCCGATGACGTCGGATATCACACCGGAGTAAGTTACAATAGTAAATCAAACACGGCATCAAGTAAAACTCATATTGCGATGGGACATAAAGCGATTGCCACATTATCCAATTTCGTAAGCTCGTCATAAAACTATTTTCCCCCCCGAAAATAAAAAGAAACAGCGGATTGAAACGAAATTTTTTTTTTAGGATGGACCTAACACTCGTCCGCCTCTTGTTGCAAATACCGTAACACCAATAGTTACCAAAATTGCTAAAGGACTCGTTAGTACAGTGACACAAGCTCCGGTGATATTTACCAATCCCGATCAAACGGTTACCAAAGGTAAGATAATCATTTTAAATTAAAATTACTTTTCTTTTTTTGTTTTGTTAACGGAAAATTTTTTTTTTTAGGATTCTACATAGTTAAAGAATCAACGGATTTACCGTTGAAAACGGTTAAAAATAAATATGATTCGTTGCCGAATAAAATTTATCAGGCGACAAATTCAAAACAACATTTGAAAGTGTCAACCGCAACGGAAAAACCTGACGAAGACCAAGACAAATCGGGAGTTATGGAAGTGAAAAAATATTTAGCGGTCGCAGAACCGAGTTCGAATTTTTACGAAAATGTAAATAAAAAATTAAATTCGAATAAAATTCATCGTAATGAATCTTACGTAGCTGAAAAAAGCATCGAGAAAACGTTATTCACGGATGCCGACGCACAAATAATATCAAACATTCAAAAACATGCCGAAGGTATAATAATGAAAGATTTGAAAAAACAAGGAGGAGGTAGAAATTTAAATATTGATATTTCGACAAATCAACAAACAAGTGTTACGCCAAAAGCGATAACAATGCAACCGATAATTGTTACCGGACAAAAGAATATTAAAATACTTAATAATAATAATAATAATAATAGTTTCCGCCCGCGTTTTTCATCCCAGTTACAAAAATTAACTAAAAACATTCATCCGGCATCGATAAACGCTCTTAAAATAAACGATAATAATAAAAATAACAATGAATTATTATTATTAGAAAAATCGAGTTCGTTTGATTCATCATCGACAACATCGGACCCACCATCATCATTTATCAACGTCTCGAAAGTTCCACATCAATTAATTGATGCCAAGTCCACAAATTCAAATTCAAAAAATAATTCCACCATTCCGGATTGTGAATCTAATTTATGTGTTCAAGACAACAATCGAGCGTTTTCCGATAATTTGGTTTTTATAAAGCCAGAAAAAGATATTACATTAAATTCTGGTTCAAATGCAAATAAACTTACTCATACTTTTTATCCGCAAAATCAACTTAAAGAAGAAAGACATTATGTCACAACGATTGACGTACAAAAAGGAATCGCCATTGATGTACAACAAAACGAAGATGGTTCCATACATTTAGCATCTAATTTTCCATTTAAAAAACTTCAAAATTACCACAGGCAATATTCAAATCCGCAAAATGTTTTCAATTCGGTTACTCCGTCGCCGATTTTAAAAGTTACCAGCAGCACGCCGACGAAAACATTTTTTTCAAGCACTCCGAAATTTAATACTTATTCGACAATAAAAACGGGTTTGCATTCACCACCGGTTTTGAATAGAATTCCATCGAAAATTTATCATCAAGCATTGGAAAAACCATCGAAAGAAAATTTAAAAGTATTCGACAACAATTTTCCACAAGTTAAAAATCTCGAAACCATGATAAAACTACACGAATCGATGACTCAAGAAATTTATCCGAACGATAAGAGAAAAAGTTCTGTCGATGAAGAAAGAAGAGAATATTTTGAAAATTTAAAAAAAGTAGAAGAAGTCAAAAGACAAAATTCGAAACCTTTTCTTCCTCATCCGTTACAATCGAATATAATAATAAAATCGACAACTGAATTTCCCGCTCCAAACGTTGAAGTTAATTCCGTGGAAACTCCGGTAGTGGCGAATCCGGTAAAATTTGGTCAAATACAAATTAATCCAGGAGTCACACCGGTGTATACAAATTACGTGACTGAAATTCCTGTTTTGTTAACTCCTAATGGACATTTACAACCGAACGAAAACGAAAAAACGAATCAACAACAGGAAGAAGAAGTGACGAAAATCGGAAGTTTAACAAATTACTTCGATGGCACTTCATTACGTAATGTATTTGTCAATACGCCTGAACAAACTACTTCTTCGGATCAAAATCAAGAAAAAAGCGATTCGTTAAACACGGTACAAATCAATCCGTTAAACGTAGAGCCGCGGTACGCTCCGTCAGAAGCAGAAGAAAAAATTGAACAGGTACAACCCTTAGCTCTTACCCAAGGACAAATAAACGCATTACATTTAAATCTTCAACCGAGTTTCCCAAATCAACAAAAAGGCTTTGTCATGACTCCACTCGTTTCTCTAGATTATAATAAACCGTTCAGGTTCGAACAACCTTTATCATTGATACCCGTACAAATACCAGCAGGTACGGAACAAAAAAAAGTTACCGCCGTTTATCAATTTCCTCAAGAATACCATCTTCCATCACCAATACAACTTTTACAACCATCAGAACACTCGTACGTTAACATACCATCAGTACCTAAAAATAATTTTCAAATAAATTTACCACAAAGAGTGACAAATAAATTAAGAGTACAACCGTTAAAACCGAGTCCTCCAGACGAAGAAACTCAAGGAGTAGGCAATCAATCACCACCACCCCCACCACCACCATCTTCTTTGCAACCACTATTTCAACCACAAACATCACTCCCTCCCCAGACTCATTTTCAACAGCAACCTTCTCCCCTTTTTCAATATCAACAACAAACGTTACTTCCTCAATCTCAATTTCACCAACCGTCAGCTTACTTTTTCCCCAATTTCTTGGGTAGTAATTTACAGGTACGTTCCGTGGGTAGGAAAAAAGTACCGAAATCAGATCATCATCCTACGGGACAATCATTAGTTCGATTAGGTAAAAGTTTAAATAATTTAAAAATTGAATACGGATTTAAACCGCCATTAAGACCATCAGTTGAAATTACTGAAGATGGCAAACCGTCCATTTACAATCCAACAGTGCCACAGAAATAAATAGCAACGCGCGCACACACACACACAAACACACATATATATATATATACCTTAAGTCATACTAATCAAACAATTATTATTATTATTTTTACATTATTTATTGTTAATTTTTTTTTTTATAATAAAAAAAATATTGTAAGTGTATAAAATGTTATATAGGTTATATTATTATTATTATTATAACGAGATTATATATTAATTAATTACGTTATTAAAAATTTATTATTTTTTTACTTTTTCCCCCCATCAAAACAAAAAAAAATTTAAATTGAACCGGCATCCATGTTTTATTAAATTAAATAAAATTAATTCAAAATAAAAAATAAATAATTTTTTTTTTTCTAATTACACGTTTTTTAAATTTATTTTATATTAAAAAAAAAAAAACTCGAGGGGATTCGAACATATTTAATTTTTTCAAAAACAAATGTAACTAACTTACGTACTGAAATCGCCTTCAAGTGTTGTTTAACTTCCGGTTATTTAAATATTACATCATATCCGGAGGTGCGACATCTAACGTCGTTTCTCGTAACTAAATTTTCGTTACATATTTTTAAATTAAAAAAGATTAAAAGAAAATTCGTTTGATTAAATATTAACGTGAAATTTTTTTTGTTGATTGTTTGTTTGTTTGTTCGTTTAAAAATTTGAAATTTTTACGATAAGAAAATTACATATAAATATGTGTATATATTATAAATTTAAATAAACTACATTTGTATTTATTTATTTAAAAAAAAAAAAGTATATATAATAAAAAATTAATTCGAGTGTAATTAACAAAAACTTACATAAATTAAACAAATTTTTTTTTTTTTTACATAAAAATTTAAAAAAAAAAAAAAAGATGTAAATGTAATTATTAAAATCCAAAGTGACTGACTAAGATGTTTGTTTTTTGTTTTTGTTAATAAAAAAAAAAAAAAAAAAAACAAACAAAAAAACAAAAACAAAAACTTTTACGTAAAATTTTAAGCCGGGTTTAATTTATGAAAGTTTAACAAAAATTTTCCTTCTTTTTTCCTTTTTTTTTCATTTTTTTTTATAACGAAAAATTATTTCGAAGACATTTTAAATAATTGATTAAACCTTATAATTTCATTAAAATAACTAAAATATATTCAAAAATTTTAATGCCGCCATTTTTCATTTTCTTCCTCTTCAATGCAAAAGAAAAAAAAAGAAAATCATGCGGATGATGATTAAGCATAAAAACTTATTATTAAGTGTCTGTTTAAATAATTTCAAAAAAAATATTTTAAGTGATATAAATGCATCGTCTGCTTCAACTACTGCCAAAAAATATAAATTTTAACAACAATTAAAAATAAATAAATATTATTATCATCAAATTTTTTTTTCTTTTTTTTTTTAAAACTAAAATAAATTAAAAGTTTCGAATAAATTTAAATAATAATAATAAATTAAGGAAGAGAGAGAGAGAGAGAGAGAGAGAGAAAGAGAGAAATAGATTTTAATAAACGTTAAACTAATTTTTGTTTAATTATTAAAAAATTCCATTTAAAATTTTTATTTCCTTTATTATTATTATTATTATTATTTAGATTAATATGCATCTTTTTAATTTAAAAATCAATATTCATTTTTTTTAAACTTTCACATTTTTTATTTTACTTTAAAAAATTCCAAAATGAACAAACGAACAAACGTTAATTTTTCTGCTTTATCATATTAAAAAAAAAAAGATCAATAAGTAAGAACGAATCGATCGATCAAAGTCGCGTGCAAACCAATCAATGACCATCGTTCATATTTGTTTAAATGAACGTGGAAGCAGACGATAACCCACGCGTGTTTCGTTTGTTGTCAACATGTGTGGAAAAAGAGACGAAGGAAAATTAAACCGTTGGATAATCATTCGTAATTTTAATTAATTTTTTCCATAGCTTCCAGCCGCGGAAGTAAAAATATTTTACTGCCGAAAGATTTTAAAACGTGCGAAACGCGTTTAAACACTTGACGTTTCCAGTTTATTTTTGGTTGTTGTTGTTATCATAAAGATTGTGATAAAAAATTCTTTACGTTTTCCTACGCCCCCTTCCCCCCCCGCATAAACAAAACAATCAAATTTAACAAGGTAAAAAGGTCGAAAGAAAAAAAAAATGAAAACAATAATCAAGACGAAAGTTAATAATAATAATAATGGTGGTAACTTAAAACAAGTATGTGTGATGATATTATAAACATTTAACCCGTAAAAAAAAAAATTCTCAAATGAATATTATCAATAACATTATTATTATTATTATTATTATTATTGTTTTTCCAAAAAAAAAAAAATTTCTCCAATTTCACGCGGAGACACTACAAAAAAATAATTTTCCTATTTTTTTTTTTTTAAAGTGAAAGTTTTTATTATTTGCTACAGTTTAAATTTATTTAAAAAATTTTCCCCCACTTCCCAACTCTCCCACCTCCCTCTCTCCCTCTTCTTTAATTTTCAACCCTTATTAATATTTATATTTATTGTTTACAAGAAAAATTTATAGATTCGTTAAAAAAAATAAATAAATAAATAATTGAGATGTTACGTAAAAAAATTTAATCCGATAAATAATTGAAAATCTTAATTATTATTATTATTTTTATTAGCGCAAAATTAACTGACTGGAAAAAGAAGAAAGTAATTTATGATAATAATAATAATAATAATAATAATAATAAGTTGTGTGTATTTGTGTATTGATTACAATATCGAAAAAAAAAAAAAAAAGAAGTGGAAAGGGAAAAAAAATAAAAAGTCAACACTTGATTCAACACAGAGTTTATTAAGTATCCAGTCGGTTAACTTCTCAGTCAGTTTGGTTGGTTTACCGCAACTAAAGCTACAACGTGCGAGGTAAGTTATCGTAATTGTAACGTTTTTTTTTTTCCTACAAAACTACAATTCATTAATAATTTTGGTAATTTTTTTTTTGTTTTTGTTAAAGTTTACAATTTTTTGTAATTTTATTCGTTTTTGTTTTTAAAAGAAAATATTTTCGACATTTTTTTAGTTGTGTAGTTAGTAGTTATTCTACACTACAACATATTCTCGTACATTACAACGAAAAAATTATAACTACAACATTATTTCGTTTAGTACAAACGCGAAAAAATGTCATTAAATAAAAAAAACCAAATCGCGATAGGTTTTACTAGCCTTCCGTAAATTATTTTTAGTATCGCAACCTTAAATTTTATTAAAGTCGTGGCGCAAGACTAAAGAATTTCACTCATTGTTTAAATTAAATTTTTGTCAAATTAAAAAAAAAATTCCTTAGAATCTTTTCCACATTTAGAATCGATTTTGCAAACAAAAAACATTGCGAAATAATTAAAAATAATATTTATAATTATTATTACCATTTTTTTTTTGTTCTTAACAGATGAAATTTTTAATCGTGTTTGTTTGTTTGTTGCACGGGAGTTTACAACAACAAAATTTATATCGTCAAACGATAATACAACGAAATGAAAACAACGCGAATAAAAATAATATAGAAGATATCCGTTATTCTTATTTAAACGGAGTACAACCGGAATATAAAGATTTACATAATAACGTGGAAATAAATAACAAACAAATATACAATCAAGTATCAGAAGAAGAAGAAGAAACTTCAGAAACGGAAAATGAAAATCAATACGCAATTAATACGCCGGAGGAAAAGGATGATGGCGATGATGATAACAATAATAAAAATTATATTAAAAAAATGGCAGAACAATTGCTATTGGCACGACAAAGGGTTCCAATATTGAGTGATTATCAAAGGAATATATTAAAACAAGATCCGCTAGTACAAAAATACGTTTTCGGTCCGAAAGAACAATCAACTACCAGGCCAACCGTGAAAAGATCTCGATCCAAACAAAAAGAAACGATAAAAAATTCCGAAATCTCATCACAAAATTTAAATCCATCATCGAAATCATCGTCTGCAACGTCTAGAAGTGGTAATGGTGGTGGTCGTCGTGGTGTCGGTGCCTCACCATCGAGAAGAGCCAACATCCAAGAACAAAAATACGGTATTCAAATGAATAGTGATAATTCGAATCAGGGTAGCGAATTACAATACGTCACGGTACCACCTCCGGTGCTGCCAACTCAACAGCTTACGTCAAAAGTACAATTGATACCGAATTCTCAACCCTACGTAATATATAATTTGGAAGAAAGTCAAAAACAACCTCAAGTACACGCGATTCCAATATTAACTCCAGTTAATTACAATATAAACCTACAACCCACGGTCACTCCAGTTTATCATCATGAACATGAACATAAACTAGAAGATGACGACGGTCACCATCACGTGAGTAATAAATTATTATTGTTTTTATTTTAATACCCGGGTAATAAATAAAATTTATAACAAACGGTATCAAAACATTACTTGGACAAAAAAAATTTAACACGATTACGTCACGGTTAATTTCATAAAAAATTTAACACGATTACGTCACGGTTAATTTCATAAAAAATTTTTTTTTCTTTTTGATGAAATTAGAGTAGAAGGTAGGGGGAAGAGGGAGGAAGGAAATGGTTATTTTTGGTAACCGGAAAAGGACATTTTTATGGGAAAATCATCTTTTATCGATTTCTTTTTTCTTTTAAACAATTACGGTAATTCACATACGAGATTAAAGTTAGTACCTAGAATATTTTTCGTATTTTATTACTCTTTCGTTAGTAATTTTTTTTTTTTTTTTTGATAAAAATCATAACAAAAAAAATTTTAAATTATTTCCTTAAAATTATTTTCCATAGAGTACAAAAAAAAGTAGAAGAAAGAAAGAAAGAAAACGAGTAACAATCGGAACAACCGTATTAAATTTAGAAAAAAAAAAAATTTTTTTTTTTTTTTTACTTTCGAAAATTTATTATTTCATTGTTTAAACGAGTTTAAAAAAAAAAAATAATAATAATGATAATAAAATCGATTACTCTAAACTTAAATCCTATAATAGTAATAATAATAATTTGATTCTCACACATAAAATATATTAATTTCTCAAGGTTTTTCCATAATTTTGCACAAAACGCATAATGTAACAATTACAAGAAAAAAAAAAGAAAAACTTTCTCCAGAACACATACGTGCTCTCTTAAATTCCACGTGCATGTTAACTTTCATTTAAATTGACATTTATTTTATTTTTATCCTCATAATATTAATAATAATAATAATAATTTTTTTTGAATTATCGTAATCCTTTTTACAATAAAAAAAAATTTTTTTATTACCGTAATAAATACACATAAAAAAAATTGTATCAAAAAGATGATAACAGTTATGTTTTTTTCTTTTCCAGAGAATAATTTTTTTTTTTTTAATTTAAAAGAGAAAGAGAGGGGGGTGGAGGAAGAAGAAGACAGACAAATATGTTTTAATTATGTTTTGATATTTAAAACACACACACACACACACACACACACCTGAATGATAATTCGATCACGCATAGGTAATGATAACATTTATAATTTTTAACTTTTTTGTTTTCCAGGCTTCTCCAAAATACAAATACATGTACAACGTGAAAGATTACGAAAAAGATACTCATTTCGGTCACATGGAATCTCGTTCAGACGATACCACTTACGGTCATTATTTTGTTCAGTTACCAGATGGAAGAATTGAAACCGTAAATTATTGGGCTGATAAGAGCGGATATCATGCAAATGTTGAATTTCGCGGACGGGCAATACATCCTCATCAACATCATCATCTTAATCAAGAGACTGAATTTAATTCGATACACTGATTATATTTTTTTTTTTTTTTACTATTCACAACGATTTGTTTCGAGAGATTATTTCTACAGGCATTTTCAAAATCGTACCTGATTTATCAGGAATGAATGTTTAAAAAAATAATTCTCGAACGTTTTTCGCAAAAAAAGTTTCATTATAATACAAAGTGAGCTTCGACGCACAAAACCCCATCTCTCTCTCACTTAATTTTATTATTTACAATATTATTATTATTAATATTTAAGTTATTTAACGTTAATATTATTATTATATTAAAGCCAAAGTTTATTATTATTATTATTATTATTATTATTATTATTATTATTATTATTATTATTAAATGGTTGAAGTTAATAAATTAAATTAAAAATTTAAAAAAATTTATAATTTTGTTTTTTTTACCCATTATTGTTTAATTTTTTTTTTTGTGCATAAATAAATTTTAAAAATTAAAATTTTAAATTTATAAAAAAATAAACAAACAAACAAACAAACAAACAATCGAGAAATTAAACCTTAATTAAAAATGACATTAGGGTACCCCCGAAAAATAAAAAAAAAATTACGAAGGAAATGAATGCTAAATGTAATTATCATTTAATTTTAATTTTAAATTTACTATTGTTTGCTACCACAATTACAAAAAAAAAAAAATGGCGTCATATATAATTTTTTGTGGGAGGTACTAGTGGATCCCTCACCTCCCCTTCGAAAAAAAAAAAAAAGAAAAAATTTATAATAATAACCGGATGTCAATTAATTGAGAGAAAATTTTCCGACTGTTTCGTTTATAAAAATATTTATTTATTTACTCTATGATTTAAAAAATTTCCCATTTTCCGATGAATTTTTTTATAAGCAAACAAAATTTACGTTAAATAATTTTATTTTAAATTTCTTCTTCTCCCCCCCCCACTTAATAAATTTTCTGGAAAGTTTTAATAAAATAAATAAATAACTTTTATTAATTAATTAATTAATTATTAAAAAAAACTTTCGAAGAAATTTCTAGAAATAATAACGAAATAAAAAAAATAAATAAATACATATATAAATTTTTTTACATTCGAACATTAAAAAAAAAATAATAAATTTATTAATAAATAAGTTATTAATCGATTAATTATGTATAATTTGAATTAATAAAAATTATTAATCAAATAGAAAGTCACACAAACAAATAAAAAATTATTATTAATTAATAATAATTGAGAAATTTTTTTTTTTTCGTCGGGGATTTCGTAAAAAAAAAAAAAACGTTAATAACAAGGTTAAAATAATAATAATAATAATAATAAATGATGATTTGGAATTTTAAATCGATTGATATATCATCGAGTCACCGCGATATCAATAAAAAATAAAAATGTCGTCATCGTTTAAAACTTTCTGTACATTTTTTCGCACCTGTACATAAAAATGATTTCCTACGTCACATTTTTTATACGGCCAAATGTGTAAAACTTTAAAATTGTTAATTGCGATAAAAAAACTGTGATCTACACGTTTAACAAGTATTTAACTAAGGTCAATTCATAAGTCGTTTTTTTTTAAAAAAAAAAACTTTTTCACATCGTTTAGACGAGATGCAGCCAGCCAGCCAGCCAGCCAGCATCTTTTGACTTCCTGTTTACCATCTGTGACTTTTCTAATATTTACTTTTTTTTTTTTTTTGCTTACTTAATATCGTGAATTTCTCTTCTTTTTCATTTTTTTTTATTATAATTTATTCAATATATTTTATTTTTATT